GATAGATAGATAGATAGATAGATAGATAGATAGATAGATAGATAGATAGATAGATGATAGATAGATGGATGGATGACAGGTAAATGATAGATATGAATATATAGATGGTAGATATTAAGAGGTATTATTGGCACTGGGATGTGGTTTCTAAGCGCTAGTTGTATCATTACTAGTCGGTGAAACTGAAGGAGGCAGCGTGGAGAGGACTGGACGTCTATTCAGGAAAAGCCATTTACTCTTCCCCTTAGGAGTCCTCTTCTTTGGTATAAAGGACTTAAAACAGAGGAGGAAGGGGAGCTAGTTGCACAACAGCAGCAGGCCATATTTCACCTGTTCCCCAAGTTCCTGAAACAACGGTTGCTTATCAGTGGATGGAATGAAGCAGAAGAAGGTCAAAGTGGATAATAAGGCTGGATGTTTAAACTAGAGTAGATTGCTGTATTTAACTCTTAAACATCTCCTAAGAGTTATAGAATCTACTTAAAAGTTTGGAAGGAATTTGCTTCCTCAAGGGAAAAGATTTTAGAAAGCATCATTTCTCAGTCCCCGGTGACTAGAGAAAAGTAACAGAGTTTTCTCTGTGTGCATGTCAAGTCTAGATTTCAATACACTGGCTGCACATTTCAGCACGCCCATTGCACATTGTCATCTTGGGACTTTGTCCCCTTGCTGTGTCCTCTTGAATTTATGAGCCATTCAAGCTTGTTCTGAAACTCACAATAAACACACAAACACACACACACATGAACGCACATGCATGCACGAACGTACGCACCACACAAACACTTTTAATACAGATCATGATGTTAGCCAACAAAGACCTCCAAACTCCTGTCCCTTCCTACTGAATTGCTAATGTGAGAGACAGAAGCCTCCATTTTTCTAGGGCTAAGGAGAGCTGTATTCCTTTAGGACACATTTCCTATTACATTCAGTAACAGGAGTAATTTTATCATGGACTCTAGAGTGACCATGAGAAAAGTGTCAAGACCTGTGTAAGATCTGTGAGGTCCGACCCACTGGGAAGTCACCAGACGACCACTACAGAAATACCTCAGACTTAAGTTTCCATTCTGAATTTCTCTAGGGGCCTTAACGGCATGAGCAAATGCCAAAGAGGGCCCAGCACTGGAGAGAAGCCACTGGGACACTCTTCCAGGTGGAGGACAAGTAGGGAAAGAGAAGCCATGACAATTTAAGGATGACTATGGGACAACTGGGGGTGCCCTCACTCACTGGGTGTTGTTTCTGTAATAAAGATACAGAAAGGCCTCTTCAATCCCCCTTTCTTCATTCCTCTTCTACTCTCCCTCTTCTCCCTCCTCTCTCATTCTCCTCTCTTTGTTTTGTTGTTGTTGTTTTATTTTATTTTGTTTTTCTGTTAACGAACCAGGGATGGAGTCCATGAAACTCAAACTTTATAATAAAATATTTTATTTCCCAAAATAGATGTTTTTTGATTTCTGAATTTTCCAACATATTTGCAGTATTTTTTAAATTATCTGGAAAAATCAGTAGAACATTGGTCCTATTCTGAAGTTCACATCATTCATAATGCTAGAAAGACTGTGCCTTCTATACCTCGCTGCAGAACATCTAATCATTGAGTGTGATTACTGACTGGTGTTCATTTATTCTTTCACCTTTTAATAAGAGAAAACACAAAGCACTTTTTGTCACTCTAGAATCCAGATAATGCTACAATGAAATGTCAGAGTAGTTTGTAGAAGGAGAAAGGTACTCTCTACTCCTTATGTGCCATGATGTAGAAGGAGAAAGGTATTCTCTACTCCTTATGTGCCATGATGTAGAAGGAGAAAGATATTCTCTACTCCTTATATGCCGTTATGTAGAAGCGAGGAATGGTAGGGGAGCAGCCTCCTGGTTCATGGGGAGAGGTTCAGGAACTTTCATGACTCCCTTAGACGACTGCTATCAGATGTAAATATCCCAGAAAGAAATGTATTGTGTTTCTAAAAAAGTGGGTGAGGATCTGAGCGACACATGGTTGGCTGCTGGGAAGTGAAGGCTGATTTTTCTTTGCCCTGTCCTTCAAACCCTAGAAATATCAGGAGACAAAGCTCTAAACACAATAGAGTACCAGCTCTTTCCACATCCAGGTTTCCAGCCAGGACGAGAAAATAAACAGAGGCAAGACTTCCAAGGGAAACAATGGTTGTGACAGGGAATTGCTGCAGGATGTGAGGGGAGAAAAGGCTGAACTAGGAGGCCACAGCAGCAGCAGCAACACCAGAGGTAAGGGGGCACTGACCAAAGGGCAAGAGGAGACATTTCATCTCACTGAAGCCCTGCTTTTTCTAGCAATGCCACCAGAGGCCATCAGAGTCAGGGATGTCTGGAGAGCAGCTGTCATTCCCATGCTCCTGGAAATCTGAGGAGAGTATGGACATCCTGGCTAGAAAAACCCACTCTCCAACCTCCAAATTCATGTTGTGCTAAAGATCTCTTTTTCATCACAGTGACCCCCACCTCCCTGGAATATTGACCAATGCAGAACTCTAGAGTTAGGAGGGAGATTCTTTGGGGTTCCAGGGAGATCTTCATGAGGCACCCAACAGGTCTAACTGACAAGAATAATTAAGGGGAACAGTGTATATAGTCCTGGTAAACAAGAGGTCTTAGTCAGCCACAGTAAGGATACTCATTAGTACTGCCTGGGGAATACCGGAAAAAAGTCAGAGAATCAGTGCCATCTACAAAAGGACAGACCAATGAGGAGCTGGGAGCGAGAGCAAGAGACAAGAGACAGCACAAGATATGCAGTGATTTCCCCAACAGATGCGCACAACTCTGACTTACCAAAACCCCTGCAGTCCTTCTAAGTTCTTTTCATTTTTCCTTTCTGTTTTCTCTCTATACTCAAATTTCTTTATTTGAACCCCGACATTGTGCAACATTGGGACAATGCAGAGAGACGGTATTTCTCATGAGACTCAGAGGAAGGCATGGAGTCAGGAAGGGTTTGATTTAACTGGGTTATAGAGGAAGCCCTTCCTGATGGTGTGTTCTCTGCCTCAATGGTCCTTCTCCAGTTCCTACAGATCATGCTTTCCAGGATAGTTTCAAGTCTTACTCTTAGGGACCCAGTTCTTCCCAACTCTAAGTGACTTCCACAACCTTACTGTCAGACCTATTGACTGGTTAAGTCTTCCCTGTACCAGTCTTGATGACCATTGACCCTACTGAGGTTGCTGATGTTCCGCTGCATTCAGCTCTGCTGCTACAGCAGTTGGGAAACCCTTCTTTCTCTGTTGCTGCCTGCCTAGCTAGGCATCCTTCCTGTATTCCGTCCCCTGTTCCACTGTGGTTTCCTCTGGTTTTTCATTGCTGGTCATCCTTATCCTTTGCCCCTGGACACTGCCTCCTATGTTGGTTCTCTCGTAACTTATGGAGTGCCATGCCACAAGACGAGTCCACTGGGAGGACTAGGTGGTTTAGTGGGTAGAAGCGCTTCCTGCACTGGCGACTGAGTTCAAGCTCCAGAACACACATGAAGGTAGAAACATAGAACTGAGTTCACAGAGTTGTCCTGTGACCTCTACACATGCCAGGGCATGAGCACCCCACACCTCCATACAACCCCCCCACAAATAATCATAATTGTTTAATTTTAATTGTTTAATTTTTAAAAGAAGATACCATTACATGTTAGGACCATGCATCTCTTTGTTGGTATATATTTCTTGGTTAGTAGAATTGGATCTGGTTCTTGCTGGTTAGGACAGGGATGGAGAGATGCTGCTACTCTGTAAGACGTGAGCCAGTTGTGCTCAGTGGCCCTGGTTGTTTCTGCAAGATCAGGCCACAGGATGAAAATGCTTTTTCGTGGGATAGAAACAACTGTTTCCCTAGCTTCTTTTCTTATTGCTCGCAGCGCTGTCTCTGCAACCATCTTGGTATCTGTATGAACAGGCTCTAAAGATTAAAGATTACCACACTAGAGGTACGGGTCCTCCCAGCTGGTCTGCCGTGAAGAGGAAGGTAAAGAGGTGAAGAATTTGAATATGCAGTTTTGTAGATGGTGGAGCCTAATTTCTGTATACCAAATAGCTATTAAGATAAATGCCAAACGATGAGCTTTGCTTGCAACTTCTCATTTGGAATTCTAAAAACAAAGCACAGCAGAAGGGTCTCCTGACCTGACGTGGGAAGACAGCACCAGTGTCAGCAGAACAGCGCGATGTGAGTACAGGGACAACAGACCAAGTGAGGAAGTTTAAATCGCGCTTTGATTGTGCACACCTTACAAGAGATGCAGAAGTGGTTTCAGGCCCATGGAGGACATGGGCAGCTGAGGAGTCAGCAGGCTTGCCTTCAGGTCTCAGAGGAGGTAGACTGGGTGACCTCACAGTTTAGGCTACAGAGCAGACTCTGTGTAGGCATTTGATGATGGATTTGCCTGAGCTGCCAAGAGCTGTAACTCTCTAGAAAGTTCCCAAAGGCAGTAAGTCATCCAGGGAAGCCTTTTGTGTTCTAACCCAGCTAAGAGATGAAATCACAAGTTTTCCAGCTTCAGATTTCTAGATTCAAGGGATTAGAGAGCGCCATTGAAGTACAAACGCCTTTCTTCCTTGCCATATAGGGGAGAGATGGAAGAAGGAAGAAGGGGGAGCTCTATCAAGGAATTATCACTAAAGCATCAAGAATTTGCATAATTGGGACTCTGTAGACTGGGAACAATAATATTTATCTTCTGTCAAGTGGAGGAAAAGGCTAAGCTAAATCACATCAGTTTATGTGCCTGAAATATCCCATCCTTTCAACATAACATATTGAAATCTCAAGCATATATTAACTAATTCTCTGACTTTGGTGCCACATTTGGGCACTTGAAAGCCTCAATTTTATTCTGATATCCCCTCCTCTTTTCCCAGTACCTGCATTGCCACTGTATTCTAGATAGCATGTCTTTTCTAGGCTCATTGAGGAGTCTCCAGCGGGGCATGCCCGCCAACCTCCCGTCGCTTCCTCCATGTTGATTTGCTGAAGGGCATATCTGGCTGTAGCATCTGCTTCCTCCTCTACAGTGAAGAAATGACTTCTCATTTATGGAGGATGGACTGACCCAATCCGGGCTCTTCGGAAGCTCACTGCACTTCACATTTCAAATTTGTCTCGTTACTTGCTACCTCCTTCTGTTCTCCAGCACAGAGGTTAGTTGGGTTTCGGACACACGTCAACCTATCCATCTCATAGCCATGTCCACCCAAATGGCCTCTGTCCCTTCAACCTCCCTTGCCCTCCCGTTGTGCAGTCAGTATTTGTGGGACAGAGCAGGCTCTGTGCCAGCGTGCCCATGGCTGGAAAACTTCCTTTCTCCATGGCCATCCTTGAAAAGCAAGATCCACTGTTAATCAGTTTTTGTTTTATTCTACCCCACAGAATGGGCCACACTCATCATATTTAATAAGTGCATGTAAAGCCCGTTATAAACAGCAAAGTGCAGTGTAAGTGGTGATCATTTTATTGTTCTTTTTAGTATATTGAATTGGATTTGCATCTTGTTATTGCCTAGATGAAATGACACCGTTTAACTGATGCAGTGACCTAAGGCCCTATAGACAGACAAATCCTCTGAGAAGATGGTAGGGGAAGCCCATTTCTTGCCTTTGTGGGCGTGTCCCCAAGGTCCAGCCTTGTCTACTGCTGCTTATACTCTTCGGCCTTTATTCATTTCGGATTCAAAATCATAGGCACTGTTGGAAAGTTCTCCATCAGGGAAGATCAAAGGAATAGGCTGTAATAAGAAACAGCAGGCCCCAGGAGCTGGCCCTGAGTCCTCCAGTGCTGGCCTTACATGTCAGGCCAACTACCTTTCGACTAGTCCTTGAACAGTAGGCCTGCTATGAGTCTGACATGCCTGGCATTTCCTGATACAAGGATTATTTCCACCTCTAGGAATTCCACAAATGTGCCTAGAAGTCCTTTGGACATTTAACTTTTAAAAATAACCTTTCATAACACAATGTAGCTAACCTAGAAACCCATGTGTCAGCTGTTTCCCGTGAAAATACCTGCAAGTCTTGCTGTCACTTAGATAACACAGGAAAGTGAACATACAAACACACACACACACACACACACACACACACACACACACAGAGTAAAAAAATGCCTTCAAGAAGCAGCCATATGGAAATTGACTCAGCCACGCTAAATATCTCCCACATTTCTGAGAGCCTTGGGAAGTTTGCTTAATCCAGATGGGGGTGCAGGAGAAGGTGTTAAAAGGCAAAAGGGAGGAAAGGCAGGAAGGACGGAAGGAAGGAACTCAGAAAGAAGAGAGATGGGGGCAAGGAAAGGAGGGGAAGGAGAGGAAAGGAGGGAGACAGAAGCAGAGGGAGGGAGGGACGACTTGTGGATAGGGACAGGGAGGAGACAAGGAGAAGAAAGGAAAAAAGAGTGAGAAAGGAAAGGAAAGAAAGAGAAAAATAAAGTCCTACAAACTGATATCTGCCATCTGAGCAAGAATGTTGAGATTTAACTTTTAATACAACCAAGTCAACGACTATGTCTCCATCACTCAAGAGTGTCAAAACGAACAAGGAGTTAGCCTTGAGGAGACTGGGGTGGTAAAAGAGACCGTCATATGCTAAGAATCATGTTTCTTTCTAAACTCCTCTTCCACCAATTCCAGTCCTACCCTGAGTAAGTCCGTCTTACTCATCAATATGTTGGGTCTGCAAACATTTCTGCATGTGGATATTAAGCGAGTGTTTACTGGAGATAGGAAGGTGACTCCAGGAGTAAAAGTGGTTGCTATGCAAACCTGAGGACCTGAGTTTGGATCCCCAGCATCCACCCGGATTTTGTGGCATGCCTTCTGTGCCTTCTCTGGAGCAGCGCAAACATGCAGCACCTACCTACTATACTGACTGTGGCCGCAGCCTTTGCCGTACTGAACTTCTCTCCGTGTTTATTGGTAGCTATACATGTGTAGAGTCCTGGCTTGGTGATAAAGAGCTGGAGTCTTGAGTCAATCACCCGATCTTTCACACTCTCTTGAATGGACCCTGAGGAAACCTGATGGGTATGGAAACAATAAAAGACAGAACTAATTACTCTTTCCTAATACACCACATTGGTAGTCTGGACAGACAAAGCACTTCAGTTATGATCAACAGGCATGAGAAAGATCTGCAAACACAGACACAGGTTCCCTATCCCTGGGCCTTTTGAAGTTTCAAATGCTCAAGCCAGACCCAGTGTCTCTTCCTCTTCCTGCTGTCTGCCAATCCAGATGTAGAACTCTTAGCTCCTACTACAGCACCATGTCTCCCTGTACTCCACCATGATGATAATAGACTAAACCTCTGAACCAGTGTGCAAGCCCCAATTAATTAATCATTTTACTTTATAAGAATCATTGTAGTCATGGCTTCTTTTCACAGCAATAGAAACCTTAGGACACTGGAGGATGAAATAAACGTGGCCCATCTTTCCCCTAGTAGAAGTTCCAAATTACAAACATATGAGGAAAGCTTTTCTGGACTAACCAGCATCCACCCCAGCTGCCAGTCATAAGAGTTGTTCTAGCCTAGTGTTTGGCAATCCCGGCTCAAACCAGCAAAACCATCCAGTTGACCCGCAGACTTGTGACCACTAACAGTTATTGTTTTAATCTACTCAGCCTTGAGCTGGTTTGTGAGGCAGCAACAGATAACTGACACAAGCTCCAATGATACTCTTTGTAGGTGTTCTAAGATGCATCCTGCCCCACAGATAGGAACAGACAAGACTAAGAGGTTTTAGACTTCATAACATCTGGTCACTTCTCTATAAATGGACATCAGATTGATAGATGTGTAGTAAGAGAAGTTGTTTGTGGAGCCAAGACACTCATACAAACTATTCTGGACCCTTAAACCAGAAGTCAAATGTCCTTGAAGAACCAGAATATTAATCAACATATTAACATGTAATTGCCAAGATTAATTATACAAATGCTTATTCACTCACTAGTCATCATTTCAACTATATAGTTAAGACTGTCCACATTTTCTTTTTTTAATTTTAAGTTATATTATATTTATTTATTTTGCATAAGTGTATGGGCATACTCATGTCATGGTGTGGGTGAGAGGGCAAGTTGGCTTTCTCCATGATGTAGCTCTCAAGGATTGAACTGAGGCCATCGAACTCATGGACTAAACTGGCAGGCACCTTTCCTTACTGAACCATCTTGCCACTGCCCCAAGACTGTCCTCATTTTCTATTCAGCTGGGAGTTAGAATTGTACCTCTGCTGCTCTGACAGCAAAGCCCATGGTTTTTAACCATGATGGTCCTTAGTCCTTGAAGAGAAGGCAATTAAACTGTCATCAAACAAGCAGAGTAGCTCAGATATTGAATGTTTTCAAAGCCCTACATGTGAAAGGGCTGGGTGGTGGTCTCCATAAGGTTGGGGAGCTACAGAAGCATTAGGGGGTAGAACTAGAAGAGGCTGCATCATCAAGGATGTGACCTCGAAGGGGATGTGGAACCCCTGCCCCCTTTTCCTATCTGCTTCACAGATAAGGATGGTCAGTCCCATCCACACACTCCTACAGCCAGATACATATACTATGCTGAATCATGTCCAAAAGAGGAGGCCAAAGAACTGTGGACTCAGACCTTTGAAAACATGAGCCCAAATGAGTCTGTCTTTCTTGCTATATTGTTTTTCTAGGGTATTTTGTTACATCAATGAAAGAGGAACACTACAACCTTAACAAACCAATCAACAAAGGACATTATAAAGACTGTGACTTATTTTGAAATGGCAATTTTTTCTTCTGTTTTCTTAAGCATTTTGACATATTTTCAGTAATTATTCAATAATTACCACTATTTAGGTGAGGGGAAAAATAATAACAGTTTGGAGAAAATTCAAGTGATTAAGGAAAATTAAAGAATCAGCCAATGTCATTTTGGAGGACTGGATTAGGGACCATGGTGATGTGAGCTTGGCTTCCCTAGAATAAATTTCTTGGTGAAACATGACTAAGAATGGGAAATTTGAAGAGAGTTATCTTATTATTTTCCTTGCAGGTTTTCTCAGACAAGCGAGAAGGAAGGAAATTCTGAGATGTGACCAGATCTCTTTATTTTTTTAAACCTCTCTCTCTCTCTCTCTCTGTGTGTGTGTGTGTGTGTGTGTGTGTGTGTGAGAGAGAGAGAGAGAGAGAGAGAGAGAGAGAGAGAGAGAAAGACAGAGAGAGAGAGATGCGTCTGTGTGCGTGGGCAAGGGTGGGGTACCACAATGCATGTGTGGAAGTCAGAGGACAACTTTGGATGTCTAGCCTTGCTTTCTATATTGTTTGAGACAGAGTCTCATGCCTACAGAACAAACCAATGTCTGTAGACTGCCTCCCACTTCCGTGTAGTGGCTCTGAGATTACAGATGGGAGCCTTCGCTCCAGCTTTTATGGGAGTCTGGGGATCCAAACTTATGTGCTCATGCTTGTGTGCTTTTCAGCTACGCCATGTCCCCAGCCTATGACGGGCAGTCTTCCTAACTCCCTGCTGGCTAGTTATCTTCAGCCCTGGACGCGTCCCATAACAATTAGGTAATGAAATTTTGTCCAATTATCTTCTTTGTCTTGTCATCCTCTACCCTCATTACTAGTCTCAATCACTGAGAAACAATTCCAGGTCAATTGTCTCAGATCAAGCATTATGGCATTCCCCTCACATAAGTAGCCTGGTCTCTAAGGGAAACCGATGAAGCAGGAATATCTTTAAGAGGTATGCATCCATACTAGCAGGAGAGCACAACCAGCAAAGAGCTTGGCTTACTAGCATAAGTGTTATGATCTGCAGGCCCGGCCTGTCACTTGGGTACCCTGTCCCTTTAAGAGACAAGCCCTGCCCACTCCCACCCCCCCACCCCATTCTCCTGAGGCAAGCCTCCTATCTCCAGCCTCCTCCAGCCTGCCCTCTCTCTCTTTTCTATCCCTCTTCTGAAGAGGTAACTGCTGCCTCTCTCTTCCCCTTCTTCCCCCTTCTCCCTTTCTCCTTCCTTTTCCCCTCTATAACCCACTAAATAAATTCTATACCCAAACTCTCTGTCTGCATGGCATATCTGCCTGTCTCTCACCCACCATGGTCTCCCACCCACCAAGGTGACCTGCTGAGGCCTGGGGCACCCACTGCTGCCCTGCAGAGGCCTTGGGTGGCCTGCTGCTAGCCTGCTGAGGCCTTGGATGACCAGTCATGGCCCCCTCGTGGGACCAGTTCCCCAGTACCGTATCTTTAAAAAGAATAGCAATAAGAATCTGAGTTTGCTATCTCTGTCTGTCTCTTTCTGTGTCTCTGTCTCTCTCTCTTTTTCTCTATCTCTGTCTCTGTCTCTGTCTCTCTCTCTCTCTCTCTCTCTCTCTCTCTCTCTCTCACACACACACACAAACCCTGATGTGTGATTGTAATTCCAGAGCTGGAGACGCCTAGACAATTGACACTTTGAGGCTCACTTGCCTGTCCCCGACCCACAACTAGTACACAGGAATTTCTGTTGAATTCTTTATTACCATATTTCTCAGAAGTCCAACATCTTATAGATATAAGTTCCTGTTGGACATCTTTAAATGAAAACTCTCTAAGATTTTACTCCTGAACAGCAATGAGAAACAGGCTGAGGTCTGAATGTCCATGGTCTTTCAGCAAGCTTGGTGTGTTTTGATGAGGATCACCTCTTTTCCGTTTATAGAAGTGAAGCGATGGAGCTGTGGCTTTCCTCCTCTGCCAAGCTGGCTTCTTCCTTTGAGAAGAAACCGAGCATTGCTATGCAGTCACTTAGAAACAAGCGACCCCCAGGGCTGCCGAGACCGCCCACCGTTCCTGTTCACACCTAAGCATGCCATTCCTCAGCACCTCCCGAGATCACGAGGTCACTGAAAACATGTCTTCTCCCACGAGGTCACTGAAAACACGTCTCATTGAAAGAAGAGCTCTTCAAGCTACCTGACCTCTCCAGTGGCCTCCAGGCAAGTGCTGAATGTTCAGGCTGAGAGACCAGCTCCTTCCTCAAGGCTGGTGTGGCTTCTCAGCACTTTTCCTCCTGCGTTCAGAGGCCTTGCTTTGCTCCCTCAGTGACTCATGCACAGCAGGCCTTGTTAGTCATAGTTCGAATTTGTTTTTCTTTCTTCGCAGCTCACCCTGACTAACACTTTAGTAGTTTTGATGATCTAAAAATAAAAGCAACCCTCTGCCCTCTATTTGGATCATTTTGCCCCTTCGCTGGGTTTTCAAAAGATCAAAGGGATGAGTTCAGATTATTGTTGTGACCTTTTACCAAGGTATGCCTAAAGACTACCGGTACAGTAGCCCTGCAAGCTTATCTGTGGCCTGTATGGATTTGGCTAACTTTGTATTAACAATATTTTTTAAAGTATATTGTTTTTTTAACCTGTCATTATTCCCTAAATAAAATAGTGTAACAGTTATTTTATACATAGCATTTGTACCAAGAGATTAATTAAAGTACAAAGAAGATCTACACCATTGGACATAAGAGACTAAGCATCTAAAGTTTTGGTTATCCATGGAGGGTCCTATATAGAACCAATAGAACCTATATAGACCAATATATAGATATTGGTCCTATAGAACCAATATCCCATGTTAAGCAAGAGCCAACTGGACTTAACTCAGGTGCATATATCTGGCATTTGCAGTGAGGATGTTTTTGCCAAGTCTCTCAGATTCACTTAACTCAAGAAGCCAGAATAAATTCTCTTCTCTGGCTAGACATTCTGTCTTTCTGATAGCGATGACTTCTGTAAGGAGGTAGATGAGTCTGTCAACTTGCTTGGTTGCAGGCATTATTTCACCGAGTACATTACAAACAAAATATAGTCTTCTGTCTTAAACATATTATAGGAAAAATATAATAAAGAAAACTTGGGAACTACAGAGATGACTCGGTGGCCAAGAGCATGTACTTACTGCTCTTGCAGAGGACCCAAGTTTGGATCCCAGCACCCACAACACAATGGGCAGAATACCGTTGCCTGTAACTCCAGCTCCAGGGGCTCTGACACCCTTTTCTGAACTCCACGGACACATGCAGTCACCCACACACAAACTCACAGGCATGCACACACATGCACACACAATTAAAACTACAGTAAAGATTTTTTTTTAAAGAAATACTTTTAAGAGAGGCAGCAAAATAGAAAGTTCTATCAGACATAACATTATCTGAGCTAATGTGTGTGCGCATCGTGAATCCACTAATGGGGTCACCTTGGGATAATCTAGCAACAGCCATAGACGGTCTGGTACATCATAACTTCATTGGAACACAGAAATGCCTAGAAAGGTATTCTGACTTCAATGGCACTACATTATAAATAATTTCAGCTAGCTGGGAAAACATCATAAAATAGTCGGTGTATGTTCCAGTAAGGTCCATGCTCCTGGCATTGTTATAATAAATATTGTTTGTCTCTGCATCATAGAAAAATAGGTGCTGAGCTGAGAGGCATTTCTGTGTTGTTTTTTTATTTATTACCTTAGCCATAAATATTGTTCTCTTTCAAGCTGTCTACTGATAATTCATAACCCCACACAGATCTTAAGATATATAATTAGTTTGTTTTACCAGTTAATAATATAAAAAGACTCCAAAGTTCACATGGTTGAAGCCAAAATCATGTCTTGTACCAGATTTTTTTCTTTTGGGCCACCAACCAGCTCCCAAACCATGATACAGAGACTTAGTAGTTTTGAACGCTCGGCCTGGCCTAGGCACATTTCTGGCTAGCTCTATTAACTTAACCTGTTTCTCTCATTTATCTTTTGCCTCTGGGCTAATTACCTCTCTGACTTCTGTTTTACCTTACTTTCTCTGCTTCTCTACATCTGACTGACTGGCGTCTGCCTGGTTTCTTGCTCCCGGCTTGTCCCTTATTCTCTCCCCATTCTCTCCTTCTTTCCTCCTTTTTCTGAGCCTAGATTTCTCCTCCGATTTATTCTCTCTGTCCACCAGCCCCACCTATCCTTTCTCTGCCTAGCTATTGGCCATTCTACTCTTTATTAGATCAAACAGGTGCCTTAGACAGACAAAGTGAAACAAATACAACACTTCTTTCCATAATTGAACAAATGCAGTATGCGCAAACGTGACAAATCTTTCCCTAGTTAAAATAATATTCTACAACAATGATCTTTTAAAAATCTGGGTGAAATATGGTTACTTATAAGAGTATTAAACAACACTATTTTCAAAATATATATACTGCCTGTTATAATTTTTTAGGAATACTGTGTATTGTATTTAGACAGTTTTCTAAACTTTAGCTAAATGTCTGTTTAACAGTTATTGTTGGAATAGTGTTTAATAAATATGGTTCTAGAACATGGAAAGACTTTCTCCTTAAGAATAGTAAACTCCCAGGCACAATAACCCATGCCTTTAACCCTAGCACTCGGGCAGCAGAGGCAGGCAGATTTCTTTGAGTTCCAGGAAAAACCTGGTCTACCTAGTGAGTTCCAGGACAGCTGTGGCTACATAGAGAAATTCTGTCTCAAAAGATATATTCTTCTGTATATCCAATATTGTATAAAAATGAATAAATGACATCTATCATTCCCAAGTTTATCTGACTACAAATTTCCATGGGGGAAAAATAACATTTCCATGGGAAGAAAGGAGATATGTCTTCATTAAGTGGGGGAGCATTGCTTGACTTTCTTCTACTTTTCATCTCTGGCTGGCCAATGTTTTAGTTGGTGTCAAAGATGGGGAACAGTCTCGTCTTTTATAGTATTATAGGCTTATTACCATGTTGGAAGGTTAAAGTGACTAGCCATTGTGCATCATTTGAACATTTTTTTTTGTGTAGCATCCTTAATCAATATTCTGATGGTTCCTTACTCTCCTGGGTGATTCTAAATCTAGTCGAGTTGACTTTGACTATTATCCATCACAGAGAGGCATCTGTTGACTGGGAGTCTGAGTAGAGAGAATGTAGAGGAAAGAGAAGCTATGATCAAAGGTACAGCAGCAGAAAGTGCCTCGGAGTTTCAGAGATTTGCCTTGTACTCTCTTCACCTCGGGCTCTGCACCAAAGAAAAAATGCAAGCTTGTCAGGCAATTCCATAAGGCTGGCCTAACATTGACCTTGGAACCTGATCTTGATAGCTTGCTGGAAGAACAGGCTGCTCCCAGTTTAGAAAACAGATACAATAATCCAGAACAGAAAACAGAGCAAGACAAAAATGTGGGGCTGCATGGGGTGAAGGGATGGAGCAACACAGGGAAACCGCCACTCATTAAAATGTCGTGCTCTCCAATAATTGATACAGCTGATGAAGGGGAAGTACATTGATTTAAATTGCATCTATATCAAAGGAATGAAAATTTGCTTCTTCGCCTCAGAAACACCTTAAACCTGCACTGTTAGAGGTTTGTCTTTTGTTTTGCCAAATGGACACAAGCTAAAGTCATCTGGGAAGAGCAAACTTCAATTGAAGAATTGCCTCTATCTTATTGGTCTATAGGCAAGTCTGTGGGGGTATTTTGTTGATCAATGGTTGATTTGGGAGGGTCTAGGTCACTGTGGCTGTTACCATCCCTAGTCATCTGGTCCAGGGATGGATAAGAAAGCAGACTGAGCAAGCTATGGAGATTAAGTCATAAGCAGCTTTCCTGCAGGGTCTCTGCTTCAGTTCCTGCCTTGACTTTCTTTCATGATAGACTATAAGCTGTCAGCTTAAATAACACCTCAAGTTGCTTTTTGGTCAAAAAGTGTTTTGTTTTGTTTTCTTTTGTTTTGTTTTATCACAGCAACAGAAAGCAAACTAAGATAAAATAAAAAAGTATATTCACGTCAAACACAGATAGACAACAGGCAATGTTTAAAAAATATGGCAATAATAGTTGTGGTTAATTTCCCTTTCTAGATACCAACAAACTAGCTGTTATAGATACACCTTCAATAGAAACAGACTTGTAATTAAGCCCCATGCCAGACAAAGGGAAGTGAATGTTGCATCAGGGACTCCTGCAGGCCTTTCTGATCACAGTTGCCACTTCACCCCTTATCTATACATTCATTCATCTATAACCACACTAACCTCTCTGATTCTCCTCCAACAGATCTGTCTACACACTCATCTCAGAGACTTTGTCTGGTACCTTCCAGCAGCTATCCCCATAGCCTCCCCTGTCATATCTATACATCTTTCCAGCTGTCTATGTCTCAGTTAGACTCAACCACTCAACTGAAACTGGCATCTTTCTCCTAAGGCCCAACTTTTGGTCTCATTTCCAGCTTTATGTTTATTATTTTTTTGTCCTAATTGACACAATCCACACAAAATGTGCATTCTCTCTCTGATTTTCTTCTCTGTCCTTTCCCACCAGAATGGAAGCCGTTTGGCATCAGCAAAGATTTCTCATTCTGCTTGCCCTTGTTCCCACAGGGCCTAGAATAGTACCTGATACTCAGATGCTAAACATGTGCTTGAAAAAAATAATGAGTGGATGTTTGTATGTAAAGTGCTTAGGAGAGGGGCCTAGCTCAAGATAATCATGTGACCACACTAGTTATTGCTATCACTATTAAGATGCAGAAAAGCATATTGAACTGATATACATGGATTAAAATTCTGGATTATTTTCCATTAAAGTAATCTCCCCCAGTGAGCTGGTATTTTCCTGGTATATCTTATGAAAATCATTGCAGTCATGGGAAGGACCTGCAAACATTTCTCTCGTACACAAAAAAGCAAAGGAAGTATTCTACATTTTCCATGATGCAGGGAAAGACGCAAACTCCCAGGGTTCACTGTCAGTGATTTCTTAGACCAAAGATGACTTCAAATTCTTGTACAAGCAGTACCAGTGATATAGATAGAAATGGTAATATGATGTAGTTACTTTTCTATTGTTGTGATAAAAAATACCATGACAAAGGCAATTTACAAAAGATAATATTTAACTTGGGTTTATGATTTCAGAGGGATAGAGTCCATGATGGTGGAGCAAAGGTATGTTGGCTGGAATAGCTGAGAACTTATATCTTGAATCACAAGATAGAGACACAGAGAGTGGCAGAGAGAAGAACCCTTTGAAACCTCAAAGCCCACCCCCAGTGACACACTGCCTCAAAAAGCCATACCTCCTAAACCTTCTCAAACACTTCCACCAAGTAGGAATCCTATACTCAAACATATGTGGTTATGGGAGCTGTTCTTATTTAAATCACCACACAGTATAGATACATGTGTTCCAGAAATTCATCAGCAGTGGGTCTTTCCCCAAGTGATCCCAAACATGAGACACTCACGGCATTTCCGTTTTCGATCCAGCTGATGGTGGGTACGGGGATCCCCATTGCTGTACAGCGTAGGGTTACAAAGGAGCCAAAGGTGACATTGTGGGACTCAGGAGCACGCAGGATTCTTGCAAAAACTGTTAGGAAGACAAAGGACACGAGTGATGGCTCTTTATGAAATGGCTAAGCAAGATACCACTTTAAAAGCTGCAGTCACATGGTGTGCCCCTGAGTGCGAGCAACCCTTCAGTGTTGCTGTTTGGCCTCCGTTCTCTTTAGTCTATGATTTTGCACTTCTCACTACCCAAGGCCACACTGAGCTTAGTTCCAACATATAAGTTTGTCTTTGTTGTTTCTCAATCTAGAACATTCATGCTCATGTCTTTATGTGATGGGTTCCTTATATATGTAACTCAGGTATCATTTTAAAGTACATTTCCTTAGATTGTGATCATCCAACACATGGTAAAACTCCCACTCAGCTTTCTCATTCTGTTTTATGATCTTTACACACTTGCTGCTCTATTCTCTTAATCAGTTCCTATCTACCTATTCTTCAGCTTCCACATTAGATTGTCTTAGCCTATTTTGTACTGCTGGATGAAGTGCCCAGAAGCATTCGTGATCAGAATGAACACAGGACATCATTTTAGTGAATTAAAAAAATGATTAATGTTTTATACCCTCAAATCTGTCATAGTAGGAAGAACAAATTCAAATATATCGTGCATTTCAGAGAATGAGAAGATCTGCTGGGGGAAAGGAAAGGGATATTTTAGATTAATATGAGGAGGAGATTGAGTCATTTGCATTCCTTAAGCTTACAAGTCTCTGCTAATTTAAAAAAACAAACAAACAAACAAACAAAAGAAAACCAGTTCTTCAGAGTATCCAGTTTTACCTTGAATTAAAGACAGAGGTAGAAACTCAGAACAAGCATGAGAGCACCATTTACAATAGCGACTAGATTCCTACTCTTCTGTATAAACCAAATCCCCACTAGTTTTATGTACTTCCCAGACAGAGTATCATAGCGATGGTAATAAGCTTGGTCTCGGGTCTTCTGATGTCAAATCCGATGTTCTTTTAAACTATTAGGAAATCTTTTTGTTTTCCTATTACATTGTCAACATATTTGATGCTCTCTTCTGCTATTTCCTAGGGCATAAGCCCAGAGCAATGACAGGAATTCTAAACCCCAGTTTGAAACTTGGTTCTTTTAACTCACCAAAATCCACGGAGTTTGTGTGTACAAGGCAAGAAATATACAAAGCAATCATAGCACATCTAGAACTTGTCAGGATTATTTCTGACTTTTGATAAACTCTTTATGAGGTTACATAATTCAAGGGTATAAAAATGTAATCTTTCTTGACAACTGGGTCTCCGATGCAAAATGTTATTAACTTGACTTCCTATATTTTGCTATTGTGGACTCTAAGACATGCATTATTTATAACCTTGTTTGGGCTCATTGCAAAGTCTGTGATGGTCCATTTTAAATATGTAAATGCTGTACCCAAAAGCCAGCAGAACAGAAAAGTAGTAAAAGTGTCACCTTCAAAGAGGACAGTAGCCAAAATATAAAAATGTTTAAAAATGTTTTGAATGTTTAACATGTAGTTAAATCTGCCTCTTAAAACCAAAGTTGAGAGATAGAGGTAAAGTTCAATTGGTGTAGTGATTGTCTAGGCTGTACAAAGCCATGGATTCAATCCCCAGAACCACAGAAATCAGATGTTGTAGTAGCCCATGTCTGCAATCCCAGCACTGGGGAGGTAGAGGAGGCAGGAGGATTTAGAGTCCAAAGTCATCCTCAGGTACATGGAAGTTCAAAGCCATCCTGGTCTACATGTGATGACGTTTTAAAAAACACAATGGAGTACTACACAGCAGAAAAAAATAACGGCATCTTGAAATTTGCGGGCAAATGGATGGAGCTAGAAAACATTATATTGAGCGAGGTAACCCAGTCCCAGAAAGACAAATATCATATGTACTCACTCATAAGTGGTTTTTAAACATAAAGCAAAGAAAACCAGCCTACAAATCACAATCCCAGAAAACCTAGACAACACTGAGGACCCTAAGAGGGTGGATCTAATCTACGTGGGAAGTAGAAAAAGACAAGATCTCCTGAGTAAATTGGGAGCATGGGGACCATGGGAAAGGGCTGAAGGGGAGGGGAGAAAAAGAAGGGGAGCAGAGAAAAATGCATAATTCATCAAAATCAATTTAAAAAGAATATAAATAAAGCAAAATAAAAATTTAAAAAGCAAATAACAATAACAACAGTAATATCCTGGCTTTAGAAAGTCCTGGGATATAATTAAACATCTAACAAAAATCAGAGTTCAGGAACACAGTAAACAACACTCTGTAGACCATGTCTGTAAAACCCAGAATGCAGGAAAGTTAAAAATGGCAAATTATTTAGTTAGGAGAGAAGCAATCTATTACAGGCAAAAGGAGGTTTAAGGACCATATCATCCAAATGCTCTTTTCAAATTCTTGTTTTCCCAGCTTAATCTGAGTTCACAGGCTATGTGCTTTTGACAGCCGAACCCAGGCTAAGAGGTATCCTAGCGGGGAGCTTCCACACACTCTTGTTGTTTTCTGATGATGATGATGATGATGATGAGACCTCGGCCATGCCACACATCTCACCCCATGTGTGACATGTGGCTGAGACAGTGCACACAGGGACTGACACTTCAATCTTCCAGTTGCGTCACTGTAATCAGTACCACATGGGGCCCCGCCTCTGAGCCTTGGAAATAGTAACATGCTCAAGAGCCTTGGAGCTGGATCCATGATATCATTCATATTAGAAAAGCACCCTAATGATTGACCGTGCCTTTAGACTGAGTACCTTTTGGACGGAGAGTAGAACAATACAACAAAATGGAGAAATAGGAAATCTAGATGCTTTCTCCTGCTTTGATTTATAGAAGCGAATGCTTTAATTTGGGAACTTCGAATTCTTCTTAGAAATTTAGTAGCCAGGGTGGGTTTGTTGTGTTCTGATTCACAGCTTTTCTTTTTCTTTTGGCTGCCATTGCATTCCGTGCTTGTCATTTCGGCTCATTGCAAAACCCTTGATGATCTAATCGCACAGCACAGCTAGGCAGAAAGCGCGAAAGTGAATGGATCAGTCAGCTCTTCTTACACAGTTCATCATGATGTCGCACTTAATTGATTCCCTTCACTGCCTCAAGCCGAACCTTCGAGGGGCTTTGTCTGGGCACACATGATGGGTCCTATTGGCCACACAGGTAGCTCCATGGATATAAAACTGCTAATAAATAGTTGTTCTTTCCAAGTGGGCTTCATTATTAAGTGCAGTGTGTTCAGAGAAGATGACTGGAGATTACAGTGAAGCTGGTCCATCCCACACTCTTGGGTTCTCTCCAAGAAGTCAGGCTCAGTCCTCCCTTTGCAGTATTGACAGACATATTCAACCCTTCCTTTGACTTTTCCTCTACTCCCAAAGGATGTTCTAAACACCATTCATGTCTTTTGGTTTGAATTGAGATGTCTTGTTATCATACTGTCCTTAATTCTCCCTCACTTTATTTTTGTTTCATCATAATACTTAGCACCCCTTGACACCTGTAGGTCCCTCTGCTCATCTGTATTTTGGTGGTCCCTCCTCCTGAGATGGAAAGATAGCAAGGTCTGACCTTGCTTTGTTCATTACTGCAGGCTGACGTACATATATGTTGGTCTATATCTATCTCCAGATGTGCCCTGAAACAGGGTAAGAAATCAATATTTACTAAATGAGCCAATGATTGAGTGAGTAAATGAATGAGTGAGCAAGCGAGGGAGGGAGTGACTTTTCTGGTGAGATCAGGCAAATGAAGTTATCTGCAGTATGTGTGTCTCAACCTTGCTGGACCACCATTGTCTTGGCTGTCCTGCCTAAATGAAGGGGAAGAGCTTGCGATGTGGTTTAAATTTCAACAGGTCAGGACTTCTCTACCCAAACCTTAAGATGTGAAATGTGAAAGGCTGGGAAGGTGAGAATGAAACACAGAAGTTATGTTAGTCTCCTTGTTGGAGACTAATCCAGCTCTATCAGCAATGATGTTCATGCGTTTCCGCCCATCTGTATTTGTTTCCTGTTCTAAATGTGAAAGGTGAAGATGGACTGAGAGAAATTCCAACCATTTAACGTCCATTGACAACAATCCTAGCAGCTGCAATCAACAATAAATGTCAGACGAGCTTCATCCCCTGCAGTAATGAACTTGGATGTAGTCCGATAGCAAATCCCATTGCATTAGTGAGTAGCCAGAAACTGAAACGCATTCGAGGCCCTCATTCCAAAGCACAGTGAGATCTGTTTCTTAGCCAATGAAATGCACATCAATGTCTTTATTTTGTAATTTATTTTTCATGTAAGAAAATATGCTTTGTTATATAAACAAGTAAACTGATGAATAGAAGTTTGAAATTATTTAATAATTTGGACAAACTTTATAACTATTCTGATGTGATACCACTTCTCTTGTTATAGCTAATCTTAATTATCACCATCTGACTCACTATTCTCTCTTTTTCTTTAATGTTTCCATGGACAAGGATGGTATTATTCACCAGCCATGAAAACCAGACAGAGGCAGCATTTAATCCCTGGGTTTTCTCTTATGGAATCTTTTCACACATTTTGGCCTTTATATTTTTTGGGCAGATTTGCAGACCTATCTGAAGGCTGGAAATCTGACATCAAAATTGTGCTTAAGGCGCCAGCAATGTCAAATGGTTTATGACGAGCACAGCAATACTCCTCGGTCCCCACCCAGAGCACCTGCCACCACCATTTTTCAAATTCCTTCCAGATTCATAATCAGCCCTGTGGTTGTCATTTTAAAGGGTGGTATGTTGTCAAGAGGTCAGGCCATCATACAGTCTGAAATTATTCCTGTAATGTCATGGAAAAATCAGGGACCAGGAGACCAAGTCGAGAAATGACAGCTGCTCTCGTGGTTAGAGGGTAGCCCCCTCCTTGGCTAGAGGGCAGATCAAGAGCTTGTCCCAAGTTTGAGTCATTTCTGAGCGTTATTTCAAAGGATACAATGAGAGCTCATGGATTTTATTTTCCCCTCCCCTTTCCCTTCTGTATTATTTCCTA